ATTTTCCAAATTCGTTTGTCAGGTTTCTAACTCCTTGGGAAAGAGACTGTAGGAAGGAAGGTTGCTCAATGACAGTTTGCTGGGCAGGAAGAGTATCATCAACTTCTTCTTCCTCTTCATGCATAGAATTGTCAGGTGTTCTTTCCTGAAAAATAGGATTTGGATCTCGATGAGAATGAGGTTGAGATCTGCTTTCTCTTGATTGTTCTAGCTCGTCATAATTTTCTGGATCCTCTTCTCCTGGAATCTCAGGCTGAGTCTTTCTTTTCTTTGAGGATCTTCTTTCTGCTGACTGTTTTGAGCTGAATGGAAATTCTGTCCTATCTTTAGAAGGATTAGGAGTACTGACAGCTCCAGGAGGAGTGTGATGTTTGTTAATGGTATCAGAGAGAGAAGAAAGAGTCTCTGCTGATGCATTAAGATTTTTAGGAGGAACATCAGGGTTCAAGAATTTTCCAAATTCGTTTGTCAGGTTTCTAACTCCTTGGGAAAGAGACTGTAGGAAGGAAGGTTGCTCAATGACAGTTTGCTGGGCAGGAAGAGTATCATCAACTTCTTCTTCCTCTTCATGCATAGAATTGTCAGCTGAGACAAAGATGTCTTCAGAGCTTGAGAATGGAGTTGCATTAGCAAGTGTTTTAGTCGGAATAAAAAGAGAAATAGTTTGAAAATTTTCAGAATTTTTAGCGGACTGGGGAGAACCACCCCCTTCAAAAGAAGAATGAAAGTCCTCTTTCTGCTTTGCTTTTGGAGACAGAGATGGAGAAAAATAGAACGGTTCCTCTGAAGGATCTCTGGTTTGATTAGGGAGATCCTTGTTACCTTTGGTACTGCCGACTTTGACAACAGTACGTTTGGGCTGTTTACGAAGGCTAGGAGCAGGTAGAATATACTCATCATCAGAGACATCATCAACGGGATGTTTTTCAGGTGGCGGCATGCGTGACACGTATGGTTGGACGTAGCTGACGTGAATTACGTCAGTCCATGTTGGATTTTTGTCGTCGCAAACTCTGACGACTACAGGATTGACAACGTCGATGACTGTATATGGGCCCTTATATTTTGGGCTCCATTTTTGACCTACATATGTAACTTGTTGATGTATTCTAATCCACACCTTGTCACCTACCTGATATTCTTTTCCTTTTAGATGTAAATTGAGTCTTTCCAAATAGGAAGCTTGACCTTTCCTGATGGCTTCAATAGCCTTTTTTCTGACCTCAGACAAATGATTTTGTTTGTCTTTGTAATATTCCTGGACATTGGATAAATCTTTTCTATTCCATGATGTAGGTATCCAATTTGTCCTTGGTTTTACCCCTGTAATGATCTCAAAAGGGGAGGCTTGAAGAGCCTCATGCTTTGAGGAATTATGGACCCAAGCTGCAAATTTTAGCAGCTCATCCCAAGTTTGTCTGTTTTCTGAGTCAAGATACAGGGCCAGATATTCATGTAATTCATGTATTCATGTAATGGGCCCTTTCATTTTGACCATTTCCTTGGGGCCTGTAGGCAGTTGTTGTATGTGCCCTGGACCCCAAAAACCTTGCCATATCTCTAAAAACTTTGCTGATGAAGTTTGTCCCCCGGTCAGTTAGGATCCTCTTTGGTGCTCCAAATAGACAAACCCAGTTGTTTATGAATAAGCGGGCTGTAGTCATATTTACGACCACAACACCCTTCACTTTACGCGTGACCCTTT